TAGTAGTAGTAGTAGTAGTATTATACAACTGTCGCCTACGCACTCATAGACCTTAAGATCGACTACTAGTAGCACGTGCGGGCTCGCACTTCGAGTGATCAGCAGTTCTCCTGGCTGGGATAGATGCGATCGGTGTTGATATGTTTTCAATCCAGGAGGGGGACAAGGAGATCCCGAGCCATCAACCATGCACTAAGCTCCATGTGCCCCCCATACTGCATTCAAAACTATGGGCCGAGCCCAATGACATTGCCAACCTCGCCAAGCACATAGAGCCTCGTTGCGGGGCCGGGGTTCCCCGATGCTCTGACTTCTTCGATCAAGACATGGAAGGCCAAAACCAAGATCATGTCTTCAAGCTCTGTGGCTGCACAACCGGAGTTCAGAGCCTGACTCTGCCCTTTGTTGCTGCCCCACTCTTAATCCAGCAGGGGCGGCATTATGGTCTGCTCAGTAAAGACGGACCTCGCATGTTCCAAGGCGGGCGGACACGGGACTTGCTGCTGCTACCGCCATATTTTCAGGCATGACGTCGCATCTCAACAAAAAACGATGAGCTCACCAACTTCGGAAATGATGTGTTTCCAGCCATATCTTAGGCTTTGACAAAACAGATGCAGTCCGATCTTTAGACTCAACGCTGCCGGTCGGGAAGGTACAGTCCCGCTCCAATGGTCCAAGCGAAGGAGACAACGTCTGCCGAAAAACGTACAGCAATTCATGCCGCGCCCGATCAAAAATTTGGCTACGTGGCCGTGCTGGTTACATGCCGAACGCGACAGCACTTCCCCGAAATTTGGGCAACTGCACTTTCCAGACAGGCATTGAAAGCATATCACTCCACGACCACTGCGAAGAACATATCAAACCCAGCTTCATGCAATCAGTTGTTCAATCTTCATAGTCTTCATGATTCTGCGACCGAAAGGCAGAAGCGAGTCGTAGGCTTGGATCTCTGCTAAGACAGATCGGAACAAACCTCGCCGCCACAGCCACCAGTCTTCGGAGTATGCCTGGAAACTTATGCGTCGGTACGGATGCAGTGAGGTGTTGCAGTGGCATCGCCACACCCTCTATTCCGGAGTGGGGGGAAACCGGAATATCTCATCCACTCAGCTCTAGTTTACGATGCAGGGGTGGCCGGACTCCAAGACCTTCTGTCGAACCCTCTCGTCTTGACCCCTAGCAGTCCCCTGACCATCACCTGCTTTCACGCTCTTTGGGGGATTAAATGCGAAGAACAAAATTAAATATAATTGAGACGTCTTCTCCGACAGAAGGAGAAAGCCGCACGAACTCGCTTCAGAGGGTTAAAAACGAAGGACAAAGTGAAATATGTCGGAACGTCTTCTCCAAGAGAGAGAGAGAGAGAGAGAGAGAGAGAGAGAGAACCTCAACAGTGGAACTCGATGTGAACCCAGGTTCAACCCAAGATCAACCAAGATTCAACCTAACGAAGTTCTGAAGCAGCCTTGTCAGATGGGGAGCTTTGTTCACTTTGTTCATCAGGGGATTGATGAATCACTTCTTCTGAAGCGGCTTTGATTTAGACACAAATGCACATGTCTGGTCGCAGTGCCTGAAAGCTGCAGGGCACGGCTCCACTTGTGCCGGCAAATTCAAGTTTTCAACTGTCTATGCCCGTGGATCAAGAAAAGGAGGCTGAAGAAGGGTCTACAACGACTCATCATGTCGGCCTTTGCAGAAATCCCAGATCAGATCTGAAGCCTGACACCCCAGCCAAAGACCGGCCAATCTAGGCCTCGCTCGGAGGCAAAAACGTCGAGCTCATGCCGGCTTTGTCACACTCCTCACGTTCGTGCATGCAGAAGAGCAGCTGGTCATGCGCTTTGCTTCTCACTTGCCAAATGGTCATCTCTTGCCGTGACTCCTGAAAGGCATGCCGATTAACTGAGACTCGCACTTGGATCAGGACGTAGAGCAGTGTTATGGCCTCGGCAAGTGTAGTTGGTACATTCAATCTGACAAGCTGTCATCAATCCAGATTTTTTGCAGCTCACAAGCACTCAATCTTCGACAATGGACTGACTTGTCCAACTCGCAACTCGGCATGGAGTGTGTTCCGACATCTGGGGGTTTGGCCATCAGCAAAGTGTTCCAAAGGAAAGTGATCTCATCGACCTGAGGCATGCAATCGCTCGCTTAGCAAATCACTGGCCGAAGCCCGCCTTCGATATGCGGATTATCTTTGCTTCGTCCACGTCGAAGGCGACAGCCGTTTGAATCGCAAAGTTCACCAGTAAGACTCCTCAGATGAGCTCAGCTCCATACCTCGAGGCTTTTAGGCACAGCCGGCTCTTCACACGCTGGAAATCTTCGCCGAGTAGCCCTTGCCCGCCAGCTGCACGCCCTTAGCCCCGCTCGCACCTTCCAGTGAGGAGTCGTGCCACGGCTTCTGCCTCGCACTGCTTGCATCTTCCCATAAAAACACTTAGCAGAATCTTGCAGAGTCGCAGAAATAAACCAAGCTTGATTAATACTCTCTTCTGCCAAAACCAGGTCTTTGCGTGATGCACCTCGACATGTAGGATATCGGATGCTTTCTGCAAGACCTTGCCATATAAGCAACTTTCACACGGGCGACGTGGGTGTCTCAAGTCACGAAAGCTTTGTTAGGTATCGTGGTACATCGTTCAAGAATTTCACATCGGCATTGAGGCTCGTAAAGCTGCCTCTGGTGGAGGTGCCGCAGTGCTTGTTGTTTCGCAGTTACACATGCTAAGCAGCTTTTGCTGATTACATGCTTGGTCTATTGTCTCTCACACGACGATTGCACACGAACGTACACAAACCTGGTTTGACATGATTAACGAACAAGCTATGCAAGACTACCTCGAGATCCCGCCGAAGTCTGCTGCAAGGCCTCGTCCTCTGCGCATCCAAATCTCAAATAGAAAACGTTGCAGTCTAAAACAGACTGGGCTGCATGAAATAGAAGAACAGCTGGGCCACGAAGATGTAAACAAGGATGTACGCAAACCTGGGATATTACGATGCAAACACAGCTCAGCCAACTTCTTTAGCTTTCGTCATACCTGACCAGGTTATCAGGCCTGCATGCCGCACCAGAGGGTCGGCGCTTAAGCTCCTGCCGCCAAGCCCTGCCGCCCCTTCGTTTGGCACTGTCGTGCAGCTCGAGAGCCATCCGTGAAAAGCAGAAGGAGCATGGTCGAGAAAAGAACAACCACACAGTACGCGACACATTTGGGTGAAGCAGTGTGCAAATGTGGCATCTGGCCATAAAGCCATGATGGTTCGAAGGCGAAAGGGTAGCAATGAGATATTCCCCGCTCAGCTGTTGAGTTGGTCTTCCTTAGGGTCTGCTCTCTGCCTCAAGCGAGGCGAGAGAATTCAGTGAGCACTCCTTCATATTTGTGCACGTGCTATTGAAAAAAAGGGCTCCACGAAACTGCCCCAACTTTCGTAAGGAGAAAAACCAATTTTCTGTGGATCAAGGTTCGTGCGCTTGCCGACAGGATCTTGGAGTAAGCGGACAGACCATGTGTAGCGAGAGGGAAGAGAAGCCTTCACATCGCCCTACTCAGTGGGAAACAATGCGAACGCATACGAAATTCGTCAGTGACCAACCACAGCACAAGCCACGGTCGGTTGCAGGACATCCACGAACTTTCCTACGTGGTGGAGTGCCAGCGTGTTGGAACTTCGGATTCGGGGGCATGTACGTGCTTTACTCTGTCCAGCTGCTGGCGCGCTGGCAGCACTGACAGAGTGACCCGTCGCTCTGCCGGAGTCTCCTGTGCAGGCATCTCTTCGTTGAGGACTCTCGCCTTCAGGCCTCAAGGCCTCAAGGCCTCAAGGCCTTAAGGCCTTAAGGCTAGCTGCTAGCCTGCACTTCGTCAGAGCTGGTCGAAATAGCAGTTTACAGGACATCAGCGAGAACCTTGCAGAACAAAAAGCACAGTGCGCTTAAACATTAGAGAACACCACGGACCTCGGCTTTCCAGAAGCGGAGACCATCCGGCTGGTCCCCGCGCCAGCGAATGCCAGCCATTCTGATCTCCTCCGGGTTTGGGCTTGGTAGGTGCCTCCCATTTTTGCAGAGGGCTCGCATTAGCGGCTTCGGACAAGAGATGCTTCAACTGCGATCTGAACCCTTTGACGACATGCGTCGTCACGTTTACGAATCCACGACACTGCTGGTCCTTGGCATCCGCATCTGTTTCAGCCGATGGTGCAAGCACGTTCTTGCGAATGCCTCAGCTTGCTCCGGCTTTTATAGTTGTGACAACCACATCCTGCTTCACATCCTGCTAGCTGAGATCCTGCTACGCCGTTACGCATGCTCAAGTCTCCAGCTCAGATGCCACGTCTCTCGCGAAGGATCCGAATCATGGACACCTGGTGACTGGTGCTGACGATGACGATGACTGCAAATGATGGCGATTAGGAAGGGAATGGAGATGACGATGATGCTGATGACTTTGTAAGGCGGTGGGGGATGGTCGTCGATTTCAGATATGTGTGGCTCAACACGACGCAACACCGTGTTTTCCTCAGGCACGGAAGACACTTCTAAACCCCTAAGCATTGAACTACCATGAGCTACCTACCACATTCTCGTACAGTATGTTTCGCATCTGGAAACATCCTGTCGACTGTTCCGTGGGCCTGGGGTCAATGCCTGCTGAGGCCTAAAGTGCGGCTGTCTTGCCTGCGTCGAGAAGATGATGTAGGCACGACCACAACACCTTCAGTGACCGCAGCTTTGCAAATCGCATATGAACGGCTCCGGCAACTTGCCGGCAGCATCATCCCATCCAGGCCTCAAGTGCTCACGCAGGATGTTCTGGAAATCTGCGGCATCCTTTTCCAGTTCCTGATGCACGGGAGCAGGCTTCCTCTGAGCAAAGAACCCTGCAAAATCCGACTAGATGTAGCAAATTGAGTACTGTATAGACAAGGCTTCTAGGGGCTTCCTACGTTAGGCGGGAAAGATGGGCAATGCAAACAGCAAATCCTCCAACAAGAACCTGAAACCCCGTCTTGCATCAGGCTTTCGAGCACAACGAAAGTACAAGTTCAGACAGCAACACTGGCTTTCAGCGTGGGAAGCGGATCTCCAATTTGCTGAACACAATCCAGGATCCAGCTTGAGCTGATCCTTGGACACCGAGAAATCCTGCTTGGCCCAGCCATTGCACATGTCGTCCCACTCCTCAGTTGATATGTCTTTGCACCACGGACGATACCGCAATAGAGACTACACGCGTGTAGCCGCAACACACCGTCCCCAAGGGTCTAATCAGACTTATGCCCCGATTGACCCTCTGAACGGCGTTGCCTTGGGCCGCAACGTAGATACAACGGATGCCCATGTCATGAGCGATGCAAGTAGCACTCTGATAAGCGCGGTGCACGAGTTCCGCATTTCAGGGCTACTAGTGAGATCCAAGTCGGTAAACTTCGTCTGCAAACTCGAAGCAAGGCTCGATGATGTGCTCCAACATGGCTTCGATCCGTTCTTGGATTTCAGCTGGGACGTGAAGCAGGTCGTACAAGATACCTCGAACTATCTCACCAATGCTTTTCGATACCTTTCGCATCCGCCCTCGTGGAAACCGACAGAACAGCATTCACCGGCATGCAGCAATTTATCTTCAAAGCCGAAGGTGGGCATGGCAAGCTTCAAATTGCTCTATCTTTTGTTCCTCCAAGCCACACACACCGTAGATGCCGCCCTGCGCTCCCAAACGATGATTTCACATGCTGATTGAAAACCACACAAGATGTAGGCTGAGACCGGCATCAGTTCAACGCGAATTAGAAGTAAACTTAGTGATTCAGCGCATTGCAATGTCGCCTCGAAGGACATCAGATGTGACGAATAAATCCTGATGACGAGCACTTGCCATGCCAGGCTGTTCTGGATGGGCCTGTATGCTGAACTCGGCTTCCAGGCGTTCTTGCAAAGCGCGTTCGGAAGTCACCTGCCAGGCTCTGGGCGCAACAGCTTCGAGCCTGGTCTCAGCTCTGCAAGCGCTTACGAGCGATATTCACCAAGAGCCAAGCCGGACCTAGTTGCAAACATGCAAGTCGGATGGATCTCGATCTGTCATTCATGCGCTTACCACGACTGACAAGCATGCAATGACCTGAGCTCTGAAATGAGCTGAGGTATCAAACAACCAAGAGACTCAAAACGCCCATAGCTTGTCTTATCACCCTTCTCGGTTTTCTGGGAGAATCAAAGAGTGAACTTTCTTGGTTGGTAGGTATGGTACACGCCAAAGTCCTCACGGACGGGCATGGTTGCTTCTCCGTCCCTCGGCAGGCAAGGTGTTTACCAAGACGATGATGCGGCTAGGTCCAAACACACCTTGGCTGAGCCCCAAACCCTACTGTAAGCCCCAAGCCTTAGCAACACTTGCAAATCCTAAACCTTCACCAGCATCACGTCCTGAACGCGACCAAACTTCGAAAGCCTCACGAGGCACATCTTCCAACATCAACGTGTAGTCGTCGGAAGTCTGATGCTGCGCATCGTACTTCCTCATGTAGAACTTCCTGTCAGGCTTGCCAGGAAACTTCCGTGCAAAAGTGAGCATGTTCACCGCAGCTCTGCGACTCACGCGGGGAACCGAACACTTCTGGTACTGTCGGTTCGAACTCTTCGGCCCAGTGTCTGGTAGTAGTGGAAGCCCCAAGAAAGCCAGACCTAGGCGGCTGAAGGCAAGCAGGTTGCCACGCGTGCACATCTCCGAACAAGTGCCGCTGCTCGTATGGGTGTCTCTCACACAGTAGTTCAGGCCGTTCCTAAGGAACGTCGGCAGCACTGGGGCACTCAGGGAAAGCAGATGCATGGCGTGCACCTACTGTGAAAGGACGGGGCGGGGCGGGGCGCTTGGTGTTACATGTTAGGTGGTCCGGTCGGCTTTCAAAGCCATGACGTCCTCACACCTCGATAGCAAGGCTCCGAAATGCCCTTGTTGCTCCAAAGGAAGTTCGGGTGATGAAACAAAGATAGATTCACTCGTGAGGCACCTTCCTTCTGTGTGTTCTGCAACTTACGTGATGGCCAAGTTGCACCGCAGAACCACAAGACTATACCCATCACCTGAGCTTTTGGACAATGCTGCAGCTTTCGAAAGTCTGAGGTTTCAAGCTTTGTTCCCTGGTCAACCATGATCGAGAGTCCTAGAACCTGTTGGTACCAAGAATGTAGCAACAAGTTTGCAATGCGCGTGAAAGACATTGAATGCGTCTGGGCATGTCTGCGGGAGCTACAGGAGCTACGAGCGGACTCGGATGGGCCCATTTTGTTCAGTCCAGTCACCTGGCCACGTTCCGCACGAAGCGTCTCTCGAGCGACGACCTGCTCTTCGAAACTCCTGGCAGTGCGGCTAGGCCAGCAAGGCGAAAAACGCACGGCTCAAAGGAGGCAAATGGTCTTCAGAGTTCAGTCCTGAGCTGTGCCAGGGAGGTGGGGCAAACGGCAGCCTCCTGGGTTCGGGGTTTCGCAGAACTCGAAGCTAGTCTTTTTTTTGACGCGCCGGCTCCTCCATCAATTCGGTCAACGTCGCACCTGTCCCCACCGGCTCACGGGGACATGAGAGTCATGAGAGCATCCTGAACATCGCTGGGCTGTGCTGCAGAACAGGTGATTGAACCAGGAAGGACAACGATAGCAGGATGTCGTGCTGTTTTGTTGAAGCGCAAGTGGCATGCCACTGCCTGTCCCAAACGTGCGAAATGCCGCCACCTGGCGTAAGTATGCGCAGGAAGAAGAAGGCCACGCCGAAACCAAGCAAACTGAAAGCAATCAGAAAGATCTGGGTGTTGTAAAACCTGAGTCGCTCAGGAAAGGGGTGGATGGCTGGATCGAAGCACGCACCCTACCCTGTCAGCCTTCACCCGCAGAAGTGCAAGCACGCGACTCGCCTTCACATGGCACTACACGAACTACACTTGTTACACAAACTGCCCGGTGCAGAGCGACAGCTGGAGTCCAACTCCGAGATCATCAGCAGTGTCGAGGGTTGCCTCAATCATCCTTGCAAGGAAGACAACATCATACCATCCCGCTTCCTGCCCCAGCATTAGCTTTTCCGGTCCTCTTCAGGTCTTGCTGTCCACTGCGGGTTGCAGCACGGCGCAGCGCGTTGAACTTGATGGAGGCCTGTTCAATGGGGGGCAAAGCTGCGGTGTGCAGAGGAGCGACGAGACTGGAGTGAGACAGAGAGAGTATTGCTCGGCCTGAGGGGCTTGCCAGGCTTGCGAGTCTAAAAGCCACCTGCCTCGAGCGAAGTCAACAGACCATGCCTCAGAAGGACGGATGGCCCTCTCAGAGAGCAGAGGGGGTCTTGTCAACTCTCGCCATGATATGCCAAGATCAGTGCAGTGCTGTGAGGGAGAAGCGGAGACACACGACTCAATCCCACAGCTTGCGGACTGTTCCTGTTCTTGGCGGGGCTTGGGAGGTTGGAATTCAAGCAGAGCTTCGCAATGGCTTTCTCGTTGTGGCTCTTCGCCTGGCCGAGAAAAGTCGAAGGCACTCAAAGACTGAGCCCCGTGGCCTGCAAAAGAACGCAGGGGTTGCAGAAACAATCTGTCCTAGTAAGTTGTCTTCTCCAAAATTTGCAAGTTTTCAGGCAGCCCCCCACACTTTCAATCAAAGACCACGGAACTATGTTCCTTCGCAGGCTCGATGTCGTCGCTCCAGATGGGCACACCGGCTGAAGTTCCTGTGAGGAGGCCGGCCTTGGGGCTGAACTGAAAACTTGTTTGTGCTCCGAATCTTGCTGCTCGTAAAAAAAGCCAGTTTTGGCTGATAGCGATGTTGTACCTGCACGCCTCTGACGCTCGATAACCGCAATACGAAGACTTTGCTTCGCTCGTCGTGATGCCGAGAGGCCGTCAGATCCCCAGCCGGGGCAGACCAAGTTCGCTTCCTACGAGTCGAGACCGTTTTCTCACACAGAGGTCACGGAAGTCGTGATGCATTGCAAGCCGCATATGCTGCGCGGCAGCGACGTAGCAGGTGCCGGCCAGTACCAGTAAAACTGCTGCCAGAATAACCTTGCGAGCTTACACATGGGCGTGCTGGTTCACAAAATGCATCGAGCAGGATGAATCTCTTGGTGGCACCTCCATCGCAACCAAATCCAGCTTCAATGGCATGCTGCTGAAATCACGGCTGAGAAGATTGAGGCCCACCAATTCGGATGACAATCAGTGCCTCTGCCGCTGGCCGGCAAGAAGCTGTCATCAGAATGTACGCGATGTAAACGATGGCGGTTTGCCCAAAGACTATGCACTCCTTCAAGCCAAGGAGCAGCCGCTGCTTCACAACGCAAGGTGGAGCTAGTGGGCGGGCTCAATCAACTGTAAACATGTGCTCGCTTTGAGAGGCTCCTGTACGAGAAAACTACGCCCCCCAGTTCTCCAATGTGGCTTGGTGGAACTTGGCTTAAGTCGGGGGGGTGGGGAATAGTCCCAAACAGAGTCGCTTGGTTGGCTCGCGGCGTTTTTGTGTCTGAAGCGACATGGGAAATTGCACGTATGGGGTTAGAACAAGTTCGACGTATGTCACATTAAGTCTGCCCGCCTGCGTGCCATCTGCGTGCTCTATCAGCTCAAAGCCATCCTTGGGACGACAGTGTAATCAGTGCCTCAAGCTCAAGATGGTGGCAGTTTCCTTATCCAGCACCAAAATGTGTGTTGCCCTCATAACCAGGAATCTGGACTGTGAATGCAACACCATTCCTGCAGAACTAAGCGGTCCAGGCTTCGAAGCACGAGTGGCAAGCTGCCGCCCCGTGCTCGAATGTGCAAAACCTTGGCAGCTGCGAACCCGAGGGACAACAGCCCTGCTCCGTTACTGCGACACATTGGCTGATGTCGGGACTTGAGTTTCTTCGTGTACACATGGACTTGTTCATTGGACAAGGCACATAGCGTAAGATTGTGGTGCACTTACTGCATTCAAACTTTCAATCTGTGGTTCTCAAGGATTACATTGTGTTGAGAACGCAGCGGTTGCTGTTCAGCGCATCTCGGCCTCTTAGCCCAAGAAGCTTTTAGGATTTGTTCGAGCTTTTCGATACTCGAGAAGGATCTGCACGAGACAAAGAACCGAAGTTTTCTCGGAGGCCCGACAGGCCATCCACATCTTCCGGTTCAAGTTCTGGCTATCTGGAAACCCGTTCCAGTGCAGAGATTCCAAGGACAAAGGAGGCAAGTGCGTTGGTTGACACACGAGTTCACCGCTGTAGGCACTCTTCAGTTATTCTGAAATGCCTAAGGTCGACGGTCAGGCATCTCGGCGCACGTGCAATGCTCAAGGTTCGAAGTGCTGGCATGGCGCCTGCAGGCAGTAATGTCGCATGTTGAGCCTGGGCTGAGACATGCAGTGTTGGCAAAAACCGCTATGCTTCGGGATGAATGGCTCTGAGCATGTGTGGGGTGCCAGACTTCGTATCGGGAAACCGACAGAAATCGGCAGAAACTCTTCACCGGTCCAAGCCAACCCGAAGCACTCTCCGCGAAATTCAGCTTGAAGACTTCTGAGCTCCAGGCGGCACCGACAGCGTCACTTTTGCATGGCTCGCGCACACGGTTTTCTCGGGTAACTACGGGGACCTTGAGTATCCACGGCCCGCACACAGAAACACTACACTCTGAACATGTGCTTTCTATACAGACTCCCATCGTGCATGGCACCATCATGAATGCCTTCATCAGCTATTAAACCAATTTCGCACATCCCGGGAGTAACATGTTCAGAGCTCTCACCTCTTGGAGGTGAGCTTTGCCACTTCTTCATCTTCGGTCAAAACAAACTCCGCACTCTGAAGAACCCTCTTAAATAAACCCATAGGAGCACCACGCTTGGTCAAGACGTCGACGATCATCTGCTTGGTGGCCATCCAGCGCAAGGTAATTCCATACCTTGCGATGTCATCTTTGACTAGCATCATCTCGATGGCAACACGCTTGTCTTTCACAGAGATCATCGGCCCTTCGACGTGGTCGTAGACAGGCTTACAATCGATCACGGCTGTAATCGGTATTCGACTGCTCCAGCTATGATCGCCTTTGAGGGTGTACTCGGAGTATACCGCCTCGCACCACATAGAACGCAACCAGCGAGCTTCAGCTATACCTCGAGATAAGGAAAGCAACTCTGCTCCAAGTGTGGAGTGCGTCTGCCGGTCCTGCTTGTAGCTCTTCCATCTCATGACAGAAAACGTTCCCCACTGACCTCTGGCCAGCCTTTCGTCACAAGCGGCGATCATGTAGCCCGCTTGGCTGCAGCACGACTGTGCATTCGCCCATGCGGCATCAGACAACATGACAAACTGGATTTTCTCAAGAGGAATGCTGCGGAACCAAATGTAAGCACTGCTGTTGTCATGACACATGCTAACGAGTTTGTTGAGCTCGATGACGTCAGCAACGGTAGCTTCACACACTCTTTGCTGAATCAACGAACAGCAAGCAGCAAGGTCAGGCCTACTGCTACTCACAAGCCAGTTCACAGCTCCTAACACACCTCTCATCTGACCTCTCTCCTCTTCACTCACGCACTCAGACTTGTCTCGCCTTCTCTCACGACTGAGCTCGATGCCTTTGAGTTGCCTGGCATATTCACATTGACTTATTCTGATGCCTCCATCAGCGAACTGCTCGAGCTTCTTTCCTAGAAAGTCCCCCGTTCCAACCTTCCAGTGCTTGAAAGGAAACATCTTACGAAGAGGTTCCAGAACATCTTTCTGAAAGGCTTCACTGCCACCAGCAATCAGATCATCAACATGCAAGGCAATGGTACCAGCAATGCGCCCTTTAACGAAGTAGTGATACAGGCAAGGATCGAACCTGGAAACCCGCATGCCAAGAGCCTTCAGCTTTGTAGAAAAGCACTGCCACCAGGCCTTTGGCGCATCAGCGAGCCCATAAATGGTTTTGATTGCCTCCACTACGCTTCCTGCAGGCACTCCAGGCACACCTCCAGGAGGAAGATCGATAAACAATCTACCCCTCTTGGGATCCAAAGCGTCACCACGTAGGAAGGCACCCTCCACATCTGCAATGTTGAGCCTCCACTTATTAGACGCAATTAGTTGCACTGCTGTTGCGAAGCCCTCTGCTGACAGGGTCGGCGCACTCGTATCAAGTGTGAGAAGGTCAGGGTCCAGATACCCCTTTACACACCAACGAGCCTTTATGTCAGCAGTTACAGGACTGCTTCCCGCCTCTGCCTCTGTCAACACAAATCTGGACTTTAGCAAGCGACCACGCTCAAGCTCATGCCTTATTTTTGCAGCATCATCACCGGTATGCACACGAATAGCGCCACTGTCGACGAGTTTGCGCCACTGCTTGAGCTTTGCTTGATCCAGTCCCTCTCTCTTGCTAGAAGGAATCTCATGATCGCTCAACTCCTTGCGGCCCTTCTTGATGTTCACTTCAAAGCACTCGACATCAGTCTGCGGCTTCACTGACCAACCAGGCTTTAGGTGAAATTCCGTATGACCAGTCCAGAAACCGCCACGTACTGGAACCTCTGGAGTTTGACTGCTTCTCCAGTCATACTCACAGCACACCTTGTTCCCTAGCCGATCAAAGCCAACCATGCAACACAAGCTATCAACATGCTTCGCATCAACTGGCAACGCACCCGCCTCAGGAATAAACACTCCTCGGCGCTCAACTGCATGCGTACGCACAAGCTTGGATCTGCTATGGCTAATGATCCAATGATCGCCGCTGCAGGCGAACACTTCAAGATCATCATCAGGCTCATTAGCATCTGGCACCGGAACATCTTCCGCACGCACTTCAGTGGAACTCGCTGCAGCACTGGACCTGCCGCGGTCAATCATCTCAGGATCACGACGCATCATCTGGGTCAGAGGAGACACGACTGACTCTGCCCCTCTCGCCATCGTGCGTGCCCGTTTTGTTGGCGATTCACCGCCTTCAGGCCCTTCGCCTCTCGGACTCGTGCGCTCCTGAGTTTCCGCAACTGGTGGTGGTACTGGCAACACAACCGGTGGTGAGTTATGCAATTCATCCAACGGATTCACAGCAACGTCCATCTCACCTATCCCACCTGCTTCTGGATGTCCTCCACTGACTTCTTCTTGCACAGGAATCTGCTCAGACTCCTGAGTAACATCTGGTGGTCTGTCCAACATGCTCAGATCAAGGAAATTACCAGCGCCCCTAGCACTCACAAGCCCTCGAATGTGCACCATATCAGCAGGCAGAAGCTTCACGGTTGCCTCCTGATCTGGAGATAACGCACGCAACTGCTCCGGACAACAACGATACACCTTCGTGCCCCGAGCAACCCAGATCTTCGAAGCACCAGACTTCCCAATGACCACTGCAGGACCATGCCAATGTGCACGATTGTCGAAGCGATTCTTTCGCCACAAGAACACAAGCTGTCCTATCTCGAAAGGTCCTCGCTCAGGTCGAGCGCGATGCTCCATCGCCGCTCGCAACCTCATGTCATTATCAGCCTCGAGGAAAGCCTTCCTTGCTGCTGACCGAAAGGCACTTCGTCTCTCAAATATCGATTCACCCTGAGCAAGTGCAGAGTTGATCACCGGATCCGTGTCCGAACTGACAAGACCTGGAATGCGAACGTCACGACCGAACACATGCTGATTAGGAGCATACCCGTCTTTTCGTGTCATGCTATTTACAGCACATGTCACCTGATCAATCAGCTCCTGAGCCTCCTGCTTGCTACGTGGCCTCGCCTCAACCTGGGCCTTGGAAAACGCCACCTTCCAAACATCACCCTTCTTCTCAGCTAAACCGTTTTGCCAAGGCGAGTACGCAGCTGACGCATCACAGAAAGTCCCATCCAAGGACAACCCATGTTCAAACTCACCCTCAAACTCCTTCCCACCATCGCAGAACAGTCTCACTGGGGGGCCTGCCCATCGTTTCCAGTTTTTTCTATAGGAGTTTCTCACATGTTTGGCCTGCATGCCCTTCCACAACGGAACCACCATCTGATATCCTGTGGCCTCATCGACAATGTTGAGAACATGGACCTTCATGTCACGCACCTCTTGTTCAAACGTGTCAACACACACTTGTTGATTGAACTCCGTAGCCTTGCGAAGCTTGGTGACATGATGTGATTTAGGCTTGGACAACTCATCGCACGTCTCACATCGCAACCCCTTGGCTAACCTCAGGACTCTCTCACTCGCATGCGCAGCTCTAAGCAACATGTTCATGCGTGCTGGTGACGGATGCCCTAAGTTCTCATGACAGCGCCTAAGAATAGTCATGACTCGACGATCATCCTGGGCTCCTTCTCCTCTCAAATCCTCGATTGTAAACACACAATGGGCGACATGAACCTCGTGAACTTGTTGTTTTGCCTTCATCAGTCCTGTGGCCACATCCTTGATGAAACACCTGGGATCCTGTAGCTCGCTCATGTTCAACCACGTTTTCTGCATTTGTTGCTGAAGATGCTGGCTGTTCGTGAACGCTCTCCACATGTTATCACTCTCCACTCTCTCCACAGCCAACGTGTTCTCATCACAGCGCTGCTTCTTCCACTGTCTCACTCGGTCACTCATGCTCTCGTTCACATCTTCAACACAGAATAAGCGACCCTCACAGCACTGTTCAGCACAACAAGCAGCAATCAAACGTGTGTAGGCAGCCCTATGCTTGGCATGATACGTTCTCACCATAGCAGCACTACCTCGGGTCTTGGTCATATGATCGGGAGGACGAACTACCAGCAGCTTCGGACTCAGCTTCTGAATCTCTTTCACAGCTCGCTCGACCGTGGCAGAGCTCCGGATCATTCCAGGAGTTAGCTCTTGGAACAGAACTTTCACGCTAAGCCCTACTGCCGTGA